ATACACTGTTGCTTATAGAGCCACTTCCCACCTTTCTGCATGTGTGAAAACGCACGCACCCATCCAGAATAAATAAAAATAAGTGCACACATATGTGAATGTAAAATCATCAAATTCTTACCTGTGCTCAGTCATGATAATGCCCTTACTCCAGTCAGTCTTGACACACCAACCCAGTGCACCAGGATGACACAAATTCTGAGCTCGTCATTCAGAAAGGCTGGATTCTTTTCTTTTTATTCATTTGTTCATTTATTTGTACACAGGATATCACGCTGTAGTCTAAACTGGCCTGGATTTGCAATGTGCTGTTGATTGTGCTGTACTTCATGGGAGGTCAAAGTAGTGGGAGTACTAGCATTTAAACACACACACACACACAAATAAGAATATGTCTTCTTGAAGAGCCATCTGTAAAAGTGCTAACAGCACTCTCTGTAAGATTTTTAGATGTAACTTAAGGTAATACCCATGAATTGTCTTCCAAATAATCTTAAAGGGGATGCTTTTGATAATGACTATAGATCCCAAGTAGCATGCTAATACAGCCTGCCAGTTATTATCTCTGGGAAGCAAATAATCAACCTACATTTTACCTAATAGTACAAAACATTTTGTAGGCTCTTTCCCAGTGAGTTCTCTAACATGTCCTTCCCATCATTAGTAAGTTAAAAACTCATAGATAAGAAGTTGAAGGTCACTGTGGAGGACAGGATAATCACATGCATTTATCTCTTTAAGTTTGTATTATCATTCACACAATGGACTTTCAGTATTATTTGCATCTCCTCAAAGAGTACCATAATATGAAAAGACTTTAACCGGTTATTGTACACTCAAAGCGTATTTTTGTATAAAATCTACCATGAAATAAAAAATTATCACACTGACTATGTTTATAGGGTTTCTGTGCATTATATTTTCTCATGAATTTGAAGATTTCTGATCACATTCAAACAGTTTCTCTAGAGTTTGTGTGTTGTAGGAGGCTGCTTGTTTGTTCCTGGCTGCTCAGCCCCAAAATAATCACACAGAAACTATATTATTTAAATTACTTCTTGGCCAATCACTTAAGAATATTGCTAGTTAGCTCTTACATCTAGAATTAACCCATCTCTATTAATCTGTATATATATATGTATATATGTATATATATATATGTATATATATATATTCCAGCCTGGCTATATTCTGTTGAGCCATTGGCCAAAAGCAGCTTCTTTATTCACTAATGGCAATAAAACATATTCACAGCATACAGAAGGAAATCCCACATCACTGTAGATTTTTCGTTTTCATACTCTCGAGTCATCTCTATGCCTATAAACCCTGGGGCAATTGAAACTAGTCCGTGCCATCTCTGAAAAGTGCTTTTTGGACCACCTCTCTGCACATCTCCCTCCACCCTGAAGCCAATCATGCACACTTAAACAGATTAACTGAGAACCACAAGCTGATATCTAGAACAGCTACAGAGCAAACTACCGCAGATGGAAACCAATGCTTCAACTTTCCTGATCTTCAGGTCTGGTCACAAAAATATATTTTCTTCTGGGACCTTCTTTTTCTCTAGGTTTGGAATGGAGGTTCTACTGGATAATTTTATGTCAACTTGACACAAGTTAGGGTCATCAGAGAGGAAGGAACCTCAGTTGAGAAAAATGCCTCCATTAGATCTGGCTGTAGGCAAGCCTGTAGAGCATTTTCTTAATCAGCGATTGATGTGGGAGGCCCCCAGCCCCCAGCCCTTTGTGGGTGTTGCCACCCCTGGGCTGGTGATCCTGGATTCTAAAAGAAAGCAGGCTGAGCAAACTATGCTAAACAAACCAGTAAGCAGCACCCCTCCATGGCCTCTGCATCAGCTCCTGTCTCCAGGTTCCTGCCCTGTTTGAGCTCCTGTCTGACTTCCTTTGATGATGAGCTGTGATGTGGAAGCTGAATAACCCCTTCCCTGTCATCCTGCTCTGTGGTCATGGTGTTTCATCACAGCTATAGTAGCCCGAACTAGGGCAGAGCTATTCTCAAACTGCAGGGTTTGCTGCAGCTCAGGCTCTTTATTTAGAGAGGTGCAACACCACTTCTCTAGTCCCTCCTATCCTGTGCCCCCCCTCCACTCTCACCTCTCACCCCAGTGCTTGCAATACACAGTCAGACCAGCATTCTCAGAAGGCCGTTCTCTTAAGGCATGCTCCTGCTTAGAGTCTTCCAGAGGATTGTCTGGCTTAGGGAATAATAGTCAGGTCCTGGAGGGATGGTCAGTGGTTAGTAACGCTTGCTGTTTAATCGTGAAGACTGAACTGGAGCTTGTATCCCAGCAACCTTGTCAGGGGCCTAACAAATAACCTTTAACTCCCGATCCAGAGACTCTGATACTCTCTTCTGGCCTCGGCGGGAACCAGCATACATGGCATAACTCACACACACTAAAGTTAAAAAAAATTAAATTTAGTGTCAAAAACTGAGCTTAGAGTGGTTAGGATTCGGCACTCTCACCACCGCAGCCCGGGTTCGATTCCCAGTCAGGAAACCAAAAAAAAAAAAAAAAAAAAA